GTCACTTCAGCCTCAGTCTTTTCCAACACATCACCCACCGCTACATCTTCCGCCACGTTAAACTTCTCCACCATGTCGCCTTCTTGGCCATCACCCACAACCCCACTGTCGTTCTCTCCACCAATTGTGGACAAAACTTCCACTGCATCACCAACGTCCAATACCCCTCGATTCTCCCCTCCACCAATCAAATCCCCACCAGCAACAGCTTTCCCTGGTTCGACCCCTAATGTTTCCTCCCCCTCAACGAGCCCCTTACTCTCCAACCATTCCTCGTTTCCAATCACTAAAGAATCCGCCGGCGGTTGAGAATCACCTAACTCGACCGCAGACTCGGTCTCGCATTGTAACTCGGTGTTCTCTTGCGGTAACTCCAAAACAATTGCTGTCGTTTGAGAGTTAACATGGGATTGAATAGGAGGGTCCGTGTTTGGGACGGCGAGAGCTTCATCTTCCTCGGCTTCCATTTCTGCAAATTGAGATTGAGAGAAACCCTAGAGATTCAAAGCCGTAGGGTTTTAAGTTTGGGGATGAAATTTTCAGGTGTCGTTTTGGATAGGAAGAAAACGAATATCGGGAGGTGAGAGAGAGAGAGAGAAAGAGAGAGAAAGAGGGAAGCTCGCGAGCCAGAGAGTTCGCAGAGAGGAAACGCAAACACGGACTCGATAATGCCCAGGATTCTATTTTGTAATGACGTATTTACCCCCCCTTCTTACCGGCGCTCTTTTTGGGCTTCCTGGCCCAGCTAAGCCCAATCGGGCTACACTAGAAGTGAACGTTGGGCACGGGCAAGGCACAGTCTACGTATGTCCCATTGACTCTTTTTTTTCTTTTTGACAATGGCAATAGTTAGAAGTTAGTAAGGTTAGAATTATTAATGGGAGGTATTGAATCTGGATAAGGATGCAATTCATCAGCTGTCATTTTGGACAACAGCGACTATAGCCACAACAAGAACAAGAAAATGTGAGAAGGGATGGATTGAACCCCACGACCAAAATAAGATGCCCTTTAATCAATGGTTAAATGGTCACTTGGACCACAGGCTTCTTGTCCCATTGACTCATTGTCTCAGTATAAAGCTGAATTGTGTTTTGATTTGATGATTGAAGTATACATGTTTCGAGCATTTCTTGTCTGGTGAGTTACACACTCAACTTGAACGCAATGAACCAATCCCCCAACCCATGGCATGTATCCTTTTCCTACGCCAGGGCTCCCCAGAACACTTGCTTGAAGTCCTGGGGAGGCAGAACCGAGAATGTTAAAGCAGTTTCAGGAGGCACGCTGCTTATCCGTGCCAAGGCCAACTCCTTCGCTCAGGTTGGGAAATACAATGGAGAGGGAAAGTTAGAGGAGGCCAAGAAAGGAGTGTTTGTCAAGGGCTACGTCTACTAAGCTGTTGAATGGAAGCTATATAGATTATGAGATGATGCAGAAAATGGAGAGACTGAAGGCTAATTAACTGTCTCAATGTGTTTATGGTCACATGTACTTTTAGCCACTTAATAATCTTCTTCCCAGATGAGATTGGTTAGTGTGTACCTACATATGTATATGGAAATGCTTGAACTTTCCGAACTCTGAACAAGCAATCTTTCATTGTGCAGGAATGTTGAATAGTTCCATTATGCCATGCAGTCGTTTGTTTTGGATTGTGCATATGCATTTTAATGCTTATGAAGATAAGGGTTTAGAAATTTGAACCATGCTCCACATGTTGGTCCATTTAAACCCCAGAAAATGACTTTTCAAATACAATCTTCTAATCCTAGGCGGACACAGTGTTTTCTTACAATAAAATCTTATAATCACATGGGAGTTTTTATGATTGGTTTGTCGCTGAGTGGGACATGTGGGTATCCACTCATTTCGATATTATAGGGCTATATTCAGATTTATTGTAAAAAAAACATTGTGTGCAAATCAACTACAGACATTGGGGAAAAAACTCACACTAACAAGTAACAACTTTATTAATGTAGTAAAGAGATATCAATCTTGGCACACGGGTTAATTCTGTTCAACACTTCAACTTTTTGAAATGAATGGTACAGAAGCCTAACCCATCTGCCAAAAACCACACAATCTGGATTCAGCAAATCCATAGAGGGTAAAAGAACTAGTGGGACATTATCTGCAGCCAAAAAAGTGGAGGGTAAATGAGTCTCTACCAAGTAGAAAACTAATTCAGGAGAATGAAACTTTGAATCTGAAGCCATAAATGCAAGATAGTGGTCCAGTGCCACAAGATGGTGTCCAGAAAATAAGTCTGCATGCATAAAAGTTAATCGGCATCGAGCTAAAAGGAAAAGCTATGCTATCGCATGTTCTCCACACAATCATAAGAAATTTATGAACACAAAACTACACTTGATGATTGCTCTATATGATCCTAATATTGTGAGAGGAAGCCACCCGGCCATCAATGATCCTAATATTGACTATTTCCTAACTTTAGGTATATTATTTTAATTGATGCATTAAGAACATAGCTAGCTTTTCTGTTTGCTCACTTTTCAGACTCTCTTTTGAAGGGTACAACAGGAACAACACTTGCTGAGTCATGATCATTGCCACTCGAAACATCCATACCCTATCATTGAACACAAAGCGTTCAAAGATTAAGTGAGTATGTAAAAGCATCAAAATTAAGTGCTTGATTGCAATTAATGTGAAAATGGTTTAGAATTGAAGTCTATATATATATATATATATGAAGGTTTTGAGAAAAAGAAGACCTGGTTTGTTGAAGCCTGACCATGTACTTTTTGGGGTTTAGCATTTAGATCTATCAATTTACTGCTCATCTTCCAATCACCGTCAGCATTACCATCAAGTGCTGGAGCTGGTAAAACTCTGTGATTTTGCTGGTTCTCCCTAGTTGTAAGCTTAGGTAAATGCTTCTGGTCCTTCCTAATTCCTTCATTTGGATCAAGTGGTTGCAACCCCAATTCCTCCAAATTACTGGGCTTATCCCCTGGAAACTACAACAAATACCCAACCAATCAACACAAAATGAATTTTGGAAGGTTTTTAACATAACAGATCCAGAACCTGTTTAGTACACAGACACAAACCTCAACCCTCTGTCTGAACAGAAGATACCTCGCATGCGTTCGTTTTCCACCAACATGTACAACCGTATCACATTCCAAGCAAAGAGAACTACCATCTACCTCACAGTAAAAGAAAGCTACACACGCATACATGTTCCAAGGGAATTAACAAACTTCATGTGCTGGTACCAAATATTAAACAAACCCATATTCTCAGAAGAACATATACAGCTAAAAATCTCCATACCAGGTGCGTTTTCACATATATCACAACGCTGGACATCACTTGGGTCAGACAGTCCAACTCTGACATGCCTGCCCGCAAGCTTGTTACACATGTGAACCTAAAACTCCCACAAAGAACACAGAAAATGCTGCGATCAAAAGATTTGAACACAGAATACAACCAAACAAATTACATAGTAATCTTTGCATTAATCTGAGGAAAACCCACGTAAACATTTCTAGTATTTGAATATTTCTGGATTCAAAAGGCACTCTTTATTACTTCTTCTAGTAGAATTTACCAATCTCTTTCTCTAATTGAATTATTCTCCTACAATCTGCAGGATCTAAAATCTAAATCATTTATCTGGGTTTAAACATAAAGGAAAAAAATGGGGACCTTTTCGTCACAGGAGCTGCAGAGGGCGGCCTCGTCGGCGGCACAGAAGAGAATTGCAGCTGCGCTCTCACAGGCGTCGCAAAGTGTCCGCATTCTACCTTCCTCGTTTGCTCTCCTTAGTTTTATCTACATCCCTCAAACCAATCGATATTCCGAAAGAATTAAAGAGGAAACAAGAAAGAAGGATAATTGATGCAAACTAGTACTGAAGAGAATTTACAATTTAGTGACTAGTGAGGGCCGGGAGGAAGACGAAGGAGCTATAAATGGAAACCAAGGGAGGGAAATTGGGGTAGATCCAGAAATTAATAGCCCCTTCGTCTTATTTGGTAAAAAGAAATTAATAAAGAAGGTTAAACTTTTGACCGTTAATAAATAACAGTTAAAATTAACGGAAATGTAGAAGACATCCAATTAGGGATGACATGGAACAAAAAAAAGGTGTAGTAGAGGGATAACATTTATTTTGTAAGGAAAGTAGATGGATGATATTGAACATTTCCTTAGTAAAGGGATGGTAATGAACATTTTCACAAAGTACCATGACTACAGTTGGCTTTAACCCTTATGTAAATATAATTAAATTTGAAGAAAATTATCTGGTTTTGCGAAATTAAAAAAAAAAAAGAAAAAAAGGGGCCAAATAGGCAAATCAGGCCTTATGTAGTTGAAAAGATTCAATTCGACCCTCCACATTTATTATATGTCTCAAATTATTCCTCCAATTTTATACCATAATTCATATTAACTCGAGCATATTTAAGTTTAGGATCATGTGAAGTGTAACATGTTGAATATAAAAAGAAAGATCATCTGACAAAGAATGTTAATATATTTTTTTTTTATTTTGGTTGCACAATAAAAACCAACCATCTCTCAATACTTATCATACCCCACTCGTATGTCATGCGATTCGAAGTCAGAATCTCTTACTTCTAGCGAAAGGAATGGATTACTGAGTTGTTTAGATCGTTAGCAATATTAATAGTTGTTAGTTAACACATAATAAGGAAATTTGAGGTGGACAAACTATTCTAATATTAACATGAAGCGTTACATACTTATTATTAAAGTTACGTATGTCTTAATTGTACGTAGCTTCTATAAATATATTGTTTAAGAAATTTTATAAAAATGTCAATTCATATATAAGTAATAAGATTGTCATATGGAAACTAGGTTTGTAATTTCAATTTTTAACACTTTAGAAGTTGAAAAAACTTATAGAAAAGTTATAAATGCTTTTTAAAAACATGTATTTGGCCAATTTAAAGTTTTACAACAAAAAATATATTTTTATAAGTCAAATAAAATTGTCCTAACTTAGTATTTTATATTTTTAATACATTATAATTTAAGGGGGGAGAGAATTGGAACCAAGATAATGGCCTTGATCAATAGATGTATCTTATATCCAAACAAGTTAATAGTTTATACATATTTTTTAAAAAAATTTAACACGTTATTATATAATTTATTTTTTTTATTGAAATCACATGTAAATCAATATATATCTATTTATTTAATATCATATCAAATAATATAAATCATATAACCCCAAAACAAAAAAAACATTATAATTAAGTATATCATCAATATGGATCATTAATAGGTTTTTGAGGGCTTGATTGAAATTTGCAGCAAGTATAAGGGCTGATATAACATTACGTTAATGAAATTAAAAATAAATAATATATGACACAGATTCTTCCGGATAACTAACCGCACTAGTCTATATTTAAGGGAATTTTTTTTTTTTT